CACTTCTATTTAAATAAAACAAAAAAAGAAGAAGAAAAATAAAGAACAAATTAAAATCTTACTCCTGAACTTTTTTAAAAAGTGCAAATGAGTCCAAATAATTTGTTAAAATAATTATTTGTGTAAGTTCTATAAAGTAAGGGATAACTTAAAAAATAATTTATTCACAAATCAAATATTTCATATTTAAATATTAAATATATAATTTTAATCTCAAACCCTAATCAATTTCTCCAAACCCTAAAATCGCTTCTCCTCTCCCTCTCTCTCTCTCTCTCTACCTTACTCATCCCTAACTATTGTGGCGTCGCACCCACCCTCTCATCTGGCATCAGAACCACCGCTCTTGGCGACAGTAAGGCGACAGACGCAGTAGCTATGCATTGCTGTTGCAGCACCGGCTAGCGTAACGAGACAGCGCTACTGTTTCGAAGCTGTACAGTGTCGCCTTGGAATCTTGGCTGCACGCAGTGGTGCCTCGCTGCGAACAACGTTGCGAGGCGATGTTGCTACTGCCTGAATTTGGAGTGCCGCCTCGATTTTTTTGGGAATTTTTTGGTTTTTTTATTCGATCTACTGGGTGGTTTTTTGCTTGGTGATTTTCTGATTAGACCTACTGTAGGTGGCTTGTTGGTTGCTGCTGTGGTGGTGGTGTGAGGTTCTTTTTTCCCCCAAAAATTTTCTGTTAGGTGACCTATAATTGACAGTGGTACTATGGTCGGCAGTGGAGATGGTGGTTGTGGCAGTGGTTTGAAATTTATTCGAGATTGAAATGTAAATTTGTTGTTTGGATCATAGAGAAAATGGAAATAAAAAAAAAAGATCAGTATGTAGTGTAATTTATGCTAAATTAAGCTCCTGCCTAAGCGCCATTTTCAAGTTTAATTTACTTGCTACCATAATATTGAAAGAGGACTTGAGAATATCCATCAATGAGTCAAAATAATTATTTGTATTTTAAAAAATTATTTGGACTCATTTGCACTTTTTAAAAAAGTTCAGGAGTAAGATTTTAATTTGTTCTTTTTTTTTTCTTTTTTTTTTCTTTTTTTGTTTTATTTAAAAAGAAAGGTATATTGATCATTTTACGTTAAAAAATGGTGAAAATGATGTTTTATGCAATGAAACATTGAAATAAGGACAAAAATGCAAAAAAAATGAACCATGGGGACCTTTTCCACAAGAAATGTCAAACGTGTGGACGTTTTGTTCTGAAAATGATGTTTTCCGCAATGAAACGTTGAAATAAGGACGAAAATGCGAAAAAATGAAACGTATGGACTTTTTCCACAAGAAGTGTCAAACGTATGTACGTTTTGTGCTATTAAGCCAAAAATGAATATTTATTGAGTTGCCAAATATATAAGAATAGTATGAAAAATAGAGGGAGTATTTTTTGTTATATTCTAGTTTTCTTCGCAAGTTCTATATTTCATATTATGAAAATTAATCCATTTAATAGGGAAAAAAATACCCCCACAATAATGAAAAGTTAATCCATTTAAAATGTAAGTTACTCAAAATTATTAGTTTTAATTTTATGTTAAAACTGAAATAAAGACGGAAAATTGAAAATTGAAACCAATCCTTTATTTTGAAAAATTAAAACTTTTATGAGTTACAGCAGATGGAACCAAGGGTATGCAGCATGAAGATGAGCTAGAAGTTTAGAGATGGCAACGGACGAGTATGGGACGGGTTGACCATTCTCACCCCCGTCCCGTCGAGTATTTTTGTTACCTTACCCCACCTCCATACACGGTTAAAGTGGGACGGGGCGGGTTCGGGGTGGGGTGGGGCGGGGCAAGTCCCATGCCCCCATTTAATTTTATTTTTCTTTTTTATTTATTTTATTTTTTGCTTTTATTTTTTTATATCTTTAGCTAGTAAATATTATTACTTTTTTACCAATTTGTTAAAAATAACTTATGTTCCCTTTAAAAATAATGATAAATTTATTATTTTTGTTTGATAAAAACTTAAATTTGAAATTAACTTCAAACGGGGCGGGGTAGAGAAGTGAGGAGTATGTTTCCCGTACCCTTCTCATACCCGATTAGGGGCAATGACCATCGTCCCGTTTACCCGATTATGCGGGTAATCCCCGTCCCATTTGGGGCGGGGCGCCACGGGTATCGGGTTGAGCGGATTTTTTTGCCATCCTTATAGAAGTTTCGCTCGATGACGTTTTTAATAGAAAGAAATGTAATAAAGAATCGAAGGAACATATCGCAAAAAATAGGATACAATAGAATGGGGGTGTCCGATTGCAGAGAATGGTTAGATCAGCATCAAACTGGGGCTGTAGATTGTGAAGGGTTCGAAGGCAGCCTCTAATGAAAATCTCAATGGAGAACTCGATGAGCAAATTACCAAAATAATTAAAAAGGGTAGAAAGTAGAGGAACTCCCTTCATATATCCTCAAGTAGTTAGCTGCGGAATTCGACAATTCATATTTTGGAAACGAAACTCAATCAGCCGTAGTTACTTATATATATATATATATATAGTATACCCATGTTTGGATTCAATTTGAATCTCTTGCTTTGAATTATTAAGTCTTTGTAATGTTTTTTATGTAAGCTCGGGTATGCTCGAAATATTTGTACTCTATTTTTGATCTACTAGTCAAAGTCAAATGTGCTTGCACGTTACTTTGAAATATTTTATTGTAAAATTAATATTTAATACCAATTTGTTGGGAGGATTTGATATCTCAAACGAACTAAAAAAAAAATATTTAGAATAGAAATTTAAGAGAAAAAATTGTATCCCAAAACTCAAGTACTCACCTTCTATTATTTAAATTTTTTGTGATTATAAAACTCTACAAATGAGCAACCTTTTTATACTACATTTGATACATAAAAATTAATTGCTAATAAATGAATTTAAACACTCATTAAAATTTTTAGATATATGAATAGAAATAAATTCATTTATAACAATTATAGATTCATGTAGATCAAAATTCATCAAGTCAAAATTCATTAAAATCTAGATTAATATGAATATTAATTAATTGAGAATTAATAACACAAAATTCATACATGGCAATGATTTTTTAGTATTTATTACAAATTGAAAAATGAAAAATAAGATATTATTAAAATAACTGAATTGTAATAGGATTAAAATCGTCCAAAAAATGATTCTCACTTGATGTGATATTTAATATATTATAGATACATATTTATTTACCTAAAAAAAAACTTTTTACTGGTGTTTCAAAGAACCATAAAAATATTAACTTGTGCAAAGTAGGACATATCATTAAAAATATATTGCCTTTAAAAAAAAAGGCATGGATGCAAAACATTCAATTTTGGCCATTTTTCAAGACAACGAGTGTATTTGAGTCACATTATTTTGAAAAAATATATTTTGGAATAATAGATTGATAGAGAATGTGTGGTTGAAAAGAAAGGAAAAGTTATTGATATGATGAAAAATATATGATTGAAAATGAGTAGAAGAATGAGAACGAAAATTTTAATGTGGTTCAAACGGAGGCAACATGTAAAATTTAGATATTTCCCATAATTTCCCATACATTGACGCGATTAAATCTTTAACAAAAGAATAATGCTATTTAATACCGATAATGTTTAATATGTATTTAAATAATAGTATTAGTGACATTAAATCGTAAAAATACGTTTTTCTTATCCTCCCTAAAATTGCAACCGAGAAATCCAATGAACCTGAGACCGATCCATGTGATCGGGAAATTTGTTTATTCCAATGTCCAATCGTGTCGTTGAAAGAATTGAAACCAATTCCCTCCACTTTCCCTAGCCGCTTTTGCAATTTGAAACCTCACGCGCTTTCTGAAAGAATCCAAACGTTACACATACTTTGACATTGACGTACAAAAGTTAACGTTTACTCTTGTTCAGTCAGTCCTCCTCAAACAATATTCTCTCCATACAGTCCATTAATCTTGTCTCCCTCCCAGACTTCCATCAGCGAACGGAGCACAATTTTCTATTCATTACAAATTTTATTGTGAGTTTATTTTCTCCAGCAATGGCTGCAAAAACCCTAGAAGCCAATGCTGGGGGCTTGATTGATGGGGGTCCGACAGTGGGTTATGGAAGTGAGCGGGGTTCCGAGGAGAAGGGGAGATCTAGGGCTGAGATTGACACGTCGGTGCCGTTCGAATCGGTGAAACAAGCGGCAAATCGATTTGGTGGGATGGGTTTTTGGAAACCCACCTCTCATAAGCCCTCTGAACATGCCCCAGAGGTTTCCGCCTCCCTCCCTCCCTCCCTCCCTCCCTCTCTCTCTCTCTCTCTCTCTCTCTCTCTCTCACAAGTCACACACACACACACACACAACACATACCCATACTGAGAGGTCAGAGGAGTTACAATTTTGATTGTTGTCTTTAATTGAATTATAAATACTAAATATATAATTTTGGGTAGCGCTTAACTGAGGGATGCATTCCAATAATGGCAATATTGTTTTTATGTTTACTTCTTCATTAATTGTATTTATAATGATTTATGTGCTTCTTCTGTTTTAAATCATTAGCAGTTTCACCTCTGTATATTGTAACTCGATTTAGGAATGGTAATTTACGTTTTGGCCAAATATATGGAGGAGGAGAATGCTCTCTATGTTCCGAATTGAATTTGATGATTCACAGTTTGGGGGTTAAATCAATTGGTTACTGGAATGTCTTTTACTGAAAATTATTTTGCTCAAAGTCAATTAACTCATGTGCATCACCATTCCATACGATTCAGATACCAATTCTGTGCGCGTGTTTTTTTTTTCCTGCTTTCTAGAAAGAATTATATAGTATTAAACATCAAGATGAGTAGTAGGTCACGATAAAAGAAAACACCGTGTCATATTGTGTAGACATTGTATTTGTTTTAGCTCTGTGCACATGTGCATCATATGGATGTCCACTTTTTGGTTGGTTCGTAAATGCATACATCGTAATAATGGTGTTCGAAATGTTTGTGAATGGCAGCTCAGTGATGAAATGGTTGACATTGTAAAAGTAGAGGAACAAGCTGCACAGTTGGAAAGGGATCTGATTGTGAAAGAAAGGGAAACGCTTGATGTTCTCAAGGAACTGGAAACCACTAAAAATATTGTCGAAGAGCTGAAATCAAAGCTGCAGAAAGAAGCATCTGAAATCAATGCAACCCTTGCTGCAAATTCAGTTGATACCAAGGTCAATTCTGCTGCTGCTGGCATATGGGAAAAGGAAAGTCATGCAAACAGCTTGAATATTCATCAGAATGGGATTGGCTGTTTGGACAAGTGTCCTTCCTCGGCTCCAGGCTTCATCCTGCTGGAACTGAAACAGGCTAAACTGAACTTAACGAGGACTACTAATGATCTTGCAGATATTCAAGCTACAGTTAACCTATATAACAGGAAAATCGAGAAAGAGAGAACGTCGCTTCAGAAGACTCGTCAAAGGTTGTCTACAAGTACCTCAAAGGTTTCGTCTCTCGAGGAAGAATTAATCCTTGCAAAACAGAAACTACAGCTGGTAAAAGACACTGAGGACCTCAGTAGATCTCAAGATCCCTTGGATTTCGTACGAGAGCTAGAAAAGCTAAGTTATGAAACAGAACAATTTAAGAAAGTGGGAGAAGTAGCAAAATTAGAAGTTTTAAGGGCAACGTCTGAGATTGAACAGACAAAGACTAGGATTAAAACTGCTGAGATAAGGTTGGTAGCTGCTAAAAAATTGAAGGCAGCAGCAAAAGCTTCTGAAGCTGTGGCTCTTGCTGAAATCAAAGCAATATCAAACGGTGAAAATTCATCTGCAGATTTGAAGCAGAAGTCGGAAAGTGTAACTCTCACTCTTGAGGAATACTCATCCCTAATTTCCCGAGCTCGAGAAGCGGAAGAAGCTTGTAAAGGGAGGGTAATGGATTCAGAGGTTCTAGTCGATGAAGCTAACGTGTCTAAAACCGAAATCTTGAAAAGGGTGGAAGAGGCGGCTGAAGAAGTTAAAATTACCAAAAAGGCCTTGGAAGAAGCATTGAATAGAGTGGAGGCGGCAAATAAAGATAAATTGGCAGTTGAAGAGGCACTCCGGAAATGGAGATCCGAGCGTGGTAAAAAAAGACGTTCTGTACACAACTCTACCAGATTTAAGAATTCTTATCCATCTCACCTTAGGAAAGAATCTTCTCTTCTTGATGTAAGTGGTCTGGATTTGGTCAGTAATGAATCAAAACCAGTTTTGAAGCCGAGTCTATCCATAGGGCAAATATTGAGCCGGAAACTGCTTCTAAAAGAGGAATATGAGAATGGGATGCAGGCAGAAAAGAACAAAAAGCAAGTCTCCCTGGGACAAATGCTTAGCAAACCTAATAATGATCCACTTTCTGTTAAGAAAAGTGGGAAAGAAAATGCTGAAGAGCAACTCCGCGGAAAGAGAAAGAAGTTTGGTTTTGCTCGGATCTCACTCTTTGTGACAATGCAAAGTAAGAAGAAGAAGAAACAAAAGGGAAGTTCAAGGTTTGACGACGACGTATAAATAAACTTGTTGGATCATCAAGTTTCTTTGTCATTAATTCTGTAACTGGTTTATTAGGCTTGTTTAGTGTAGAAAGGTCGTTTGGTCTCGTAGATGATTGGTGGTATGTAGCTCTTTTATATGAGCAAGGAGTAGTGCCTATTGCTTTAGTATGTGTGACTAAGAAATTGTGGTTTGTGTAGAAATATATGATTTAACACGGATATGTAGTCCTAGTCTGGGATGTCACTGTGTGCAAAATCTTCTGCTTTTGACAATTGAGCTGTCGATTTTTAATTAATTTTAAGCCCTTGTGCAACAAATATATTAAGGGGTCGTTTGATGTAATAATTGTTACAAAGATCACTTTATATTTGCATTCAAGTACATACAATTTCAAAAATATTATTAGTTTTTAATTCAGAATAAACATACAAGTAGTAAATTGACCAACTGCTTTTCGGTTGAATTAGTCGGTTTTCACCTTTATCTTTTGAGTGGTGCTATTCATAGTCAACGATTGTAATAATCGACATCTTATGTGGTATAGCATTATTAAAATTATACCACGTAAGATATCACGTAAAATGACTGCCGTAGTTACTCACTAGTAGACAGTATGACTACGGTATTGTTGTCCGTCCATCTTCAGATTCACAAGTTGATTGAACCTTTTATAATATAATTATATTACTACTTTCATAATAAATTATTTATTGGGTAATACATTCTTAGTTGATTCTGATATTCCGTAAATTAGCTTCGTCTACCATTTAATTTATTATCTATGGTGGGCCATACTGTCGTTGTCATTGGAGAATAGCAGCAATTGCATTTGATTCCAACTCTAATCCAACCATTCAAGAGCTGCCCTTTATAAAGATAAATTCATTGCGTAAAGCAAGAAAGAAAATTTGCTGTTGTCTTCTCTCATAAACACGCCATTCTCGTTCTAAATTAAGGTAAAAAAAATTATTTATTTTCCTTTAATTTCGATTATTATTTACTTCATGGATGATATCGTGTCTGAGTCTGGGAAAGTATTGTTAATTTATACGTAATTGCATGCTTAGGGCATCAATTTCATTGCCTTTTCGTGGATTTTACTGAATAAGTGGGATTCGTTTTGATTGCTGGCAGGTTAATTCAGCATCAATTTTGATCATTCACCAATTTTTTGTCCAGTGAATTTATATTTGCTTATAGTCTCAATACATAAAGGGTTAAATTTTCCTTTTCGTGACAATTTTGATGTAAATTATTGTTCCAGAAATTTTAAGTCAACTTCTTTCCTGGTTTATACTTCTTACTTTTTTGACAACCAAATGATATTGCCTTGTTGGTTTGTTAGTTTATATTATGCTATTTTCTACTAATTTGGGTCTTAGCTGCTTGTAGAATTTTGACCGATCCCAAAATTATAGAATTGTGCCCATCGAATCTGTACGGCACATGATATATTGTGGGTATTCTTTGAGATTGGCTGTAAAGTTGGTTCTGGAGTCATGCATAAGCAGTAATGATTTTAGATTAAGCTCAAGCTTCTAGTTTTTTATCTTAAAGTTAAGTTTGAATTTCAATTGTCAACGGAGTGGATGAGTGCAAACCTGATGGAAAAAAATGATACGATAAACAATATTTAAGTCAAAGTGATGATGATAAAACGATTGTTCTTTTTGCCTACGGTATAGGCTAATTTGTTATGAATACAGTGCCTGACCGAGGCAATGTGCTGGCTAAATGTTTGCAATAGTGAAATTGTGCTGAAGAAGGCATAAATAAAGTAGAACTATTAATTTCAGCCCAGGTTTTTGAAGTTCAACTGTACCGTATATCATAGAGAAGTTGCTCAATTGGGTGAGAGTAATTTATTTAATTTAATTGTATTGTGCATATTTTCTTTGATTATTGTGTTGGTAATAACAATCTTGCAACGGTTTTATGCAGCTTTCAGATTGTGTCTTTAGTACGTTTCCCTTCTGATGTGCTTGGCATCATAGTAGGGATTGTAATTAATAAAAGGTTTATATAAATATGAAATTTATTTTTATTTTTGTAGATAATTTATCATTGATGTGATCAAAGAACACATCATAGGTTTGTGGTGTATTCCATATTAAGTGAAGGTGAATATTATGGCCAAGTAACTGCATGTTAGCTTTTAATTTCCACCAAAAAGACTTGGGTCATTCCTTTTTAATTGTCATCTTGTAGGTTCTGCCTTTCTCTAATTGCTCTTTAGTGAATGATGTGATTTAACACTAATTACATTTGTCTATGTGATCTCTCTTCATTTTTTTGCGTGTATATATGCAAGTCAATTCTAGATTGTTGGATTTCTCTCTCTCTCTCTCTCCCCCTCCCTCCCTTTCATGATTTGGGCTGACGGAATAGTTCCTTTAGCAGCATGGATATGAGGGTGCTTTTATTTATATTCATTGTCAGCACATGCTGGTGCTGTAATGCTAGAGAGCTGTCGACTGCTAACCACTTTAATAGAAAAGATGAGAGTTTTTCAGGTACTTCTTTGTCTATTTCTCTTTATCCCTTGGGGAAACCCACTTACATGACATATGCTTCTCACCGTAAAATGGACTAAGCTTGATGAAAAATCCATCCAAGAATTTATTCAATTAGGATTGAATTGCCTATTCAAAAGACGTAAAGATTAAAAATAGTCATTTAATTTTTTATGTAAACTTTTTGAAACTATTCAAATCCCTTCTATTACATCCTTATAGAGCACCCACATGTTGCTAATCTGCACGCCTAGTCCTCCTTACAGAAAATAAATAACTTTGGTCCCTATCTTATTGCAGAACAGGGATCTGTTTGAAACTAATATGGCTTTTTTGATAATATGAACAAAAGTAATTTTAATGCCAAAAACATATCAAATAATAATGCCTGTCTTGTGCTACCAGTCATGCAGACAAACAACAAGCTGTCAGAGGGAGAATCCCAACTTGTGAAAGAAGTTAGCAAGAACAATGAATTGTGTACATTATGCGAAGATTTCGCTTCTGAGGCACTTAATTATCTTTCAGAGAACAAAACCCAAACAGAGATCATTAGCATCCTTCACAAATCCTGCTCCAAGATACCTACACTCAAAAAGCAGGTATTTGTAGAACATGGACTGAAGTGATAACTGCTTACCAAAATTTAATGTTGGCATTCTATGCGATCATTAAATGATTGTGATCCTCTGAAGTGATCTATCTGAAAGTACTTTTAACCACATGAATTAGTCACCACTACTTAAATTTTTCATAATTTGCGAGTATGCTCGAATTATTGCGGGTTCAAACTTCAACGTAATGTTTTTCTTCTTTGATGATGTAACTGCATTACCAGTCAATTGGCTGCGTGGATTTGAAAAGCGAATACTGCTATTCAATCTTTTGAGGAATGATATGATGATAAATTGTCGGACTATATTTATGTTTTCATTCAAAGGCATTAAAAAGAAAATCAGTTTTATGTATTTGTTTTGATGGTTATTTGTACTTCCACCTGAATGACTCCCATTTGTTTACACTAGGGCTAATTTTTTTTTTTCCCCCAATGTAAACAGTACATGTTTTGTAGATTCCGAACTATATTTTACTTAAAGTTTGTTGAAGCATAATGTCTTCAACCGTATGGGGCTGATGTAGTCATTTATGAAAGGACACTTCGCTGGTTAACCGTGTGAATTACTTCTGTATGGAAACTTGAGGGATCATTATTTCTATTTATTCTGTGCACTATAGGCAGAGGATAGAAATTCCAATTTCTCTTGCACAAGAATTTAGTTCCAGTACCTGTACTTGTGCTATATCAAGCCTAACACTTCATGTCCCTAAATTTTGTCCATGCAGTGCATCGTCTTGGTGGACTATTATGCCCCTCTCTTTTTCTTAGAGGTTTCCAATATACAACCTGAATATTTCTGCAATAAGGTTGACCTTTGTGAACGAGCAGTTTCCATGTCTCAGCAGCTGTCTAAAAATACATGTGATATATGCCATCATGCTGTTTCAGAGGCTTTACTAAAGTTGAAAGATCCTGACACTCAGGTACTTTTATGTCCTCATCTGATAATCACAATATTATGAACATGAATAGCTATAATGCAACTTAAAGTCTATGGATGCTTGCATTTCTTGAATAAGAAATTTCGTTGTTTATACAGGTTTGGTTTTGGATCCAATGCTATTCACTACCTCTGTGATCTTTCTATTAAAATACAACAAAATGTCACTCTGACTAACGGTTCGCTTGTTTGATATTTCTCTATGCTTACTTTAGGGATTGCTAATTGGCAGTTATGAAACTGTCCATAACGTATCTCATTTAGAATTACACATCACATGGCAGTTGCACTTCTTATTATGATCATTAGTTCAAGAAAAATGTGTTGATGAAAGTTAAAACACACATAGAATGAACTATATCCGCCTATGTCATTCCCTGTGCTTCTTTATAACGTACACACATACATAAGTTATTAAATCCTCACAAGCACACACTTGTAAATTGAAAGCTGTACTACAATTGTGCTGGATGATTATGATAGAACTCTACTGGATGAAAAAGAGAATGTAAATTTATTGAAGAAATTGATAGTATAGCATAAAAAAACGATTACAGTAAATGAACTTGTAAACCTCTCTTTCACTCAATAATTGCCTGCCTCTAAATCCCTCTTCTACACTTATTTATAGAGCTAGTCTAACAGAATTCAGTATTTTCCCTTAACTAACCCTAAAAGACCTTCCTAACTGCTGCCAACTTGTCCAGCCCACTTCTTAGCCCTTCTAGAATAAGTATATATAACAGGAGGTCTATAACTACCCCCGGTTTCCAAAAACACCTTGTCCTCAAGGTAGAAGTGTGGAAAGTGTTGGAGAATTGATGCCATTGGTTCCCACGAAGCTTCAAAGTCAGGCAGCCCTTTCCATTGTATCAGAACTTCGAGTCCCTGGCGTTGTCCTGTAGGCGCTTGGCGCACCCCCAGAACCTTTTTTGGTTCCACGTTCCATCCTCATTTAGTGTCCAGAAATGGAGGCAGCTGTTAACATGACACCATGGACCCCAGTGCTTTCTTCAATTGGGACACATGAAAAACCGGGTGTATTGCGACAGTGGGGGGCAAGTCCAAGCGGTAAGCCACCGGTCCAATACACTTAACGATTTTGAAGGGCCAAAGTATCGTGGGCCCAACTTCTCATTAGGTTTCCTTTCCAATGAGCGGAGGCGATAAGGGCGGAGTTTGACATAAACCGTTTCCCCTTCCTGGAATTTCACCTCTCTTTGATGTTGGTCAGCTATCAACTTCATCTTAGCATGTGCTCGTTCAAGATGGGATTTTAATTCTACCAAAATTGCATCTCTATCCGAAAGTTGTTGTTCCATTGCTGAAACGGTTGTAGGCTGCTTGTCATAGCGCAGTAACGGAGGAGATTCGTGACCGTACACAACCCGGAAAGGTGTGGTATTCGTTGAGGCGTGAAAAGTGGAGTTGTACCAATATTCCGTCCATGACAGCCATGTGTGCCAATTGCGAGGCTTGTTGTATGTAAAGCACTTCAAATAAGTCTCAAGGCAACGATTCACCACCTTAGTATGCCCATTTGTCTGAGGGTGATATGATGTGCTGCGGCGAAGAACAGTCCCCTGCAGGCGGAACATCTCTGTCTAGAAATGGCTAAGAAAAATCTTGTCGCGGTCTGATACTATTGAATGGAGAATGCCGTACAGCCTTACCATCTCTCTAACAAATACTCCAGCCACTCCTACCGCCGTAAAAGGATGTTTGAGTGCTACAAAATGGTTATATTTGTTCAGTCGATCTACCACCACGAATATAGAATCATACCCGCCCGATTTCGAAAGCCCATCAATAAAATCCATCGAAATATCCTCGCATATCTGCTGCGGAATGGGCAGGGGCTGCAGCAACCCTGTTGGAGAAAGTGCAAGACTTTTATTCCTTTGGCACACCAGACATTCCTCAACAAATTTCTTGACATCCTGCTTCATTCCTGTCTAAAATAGATCCCCGGTGGTGCGTTTGTAAGTCCTCAGGAATCCTGAATGTCGCCCCGACGTGCTGCTATGAAACTCATGGAGAAGCTTTGGAATGAGAGAAGAAGATCGTGGAGGAGCTTTGTAAAACAGCTGATTGCGCTTTACCGAATAACTAGGGTGCTTCCTTGAATCCTCTAATTTTCCTTCTTGATTTTAGAAAGTTGGGGATCTTCCTCAACTTGCCTAGCCATTTCTTGTACATCCAAAAATGCAGGGGCTGAGACGACTGAGAGTTCTATTGGCGGAGCCATACGGGATAGAGCATCGGCGGCCTTATTTCCCGTTCCGAGTCGGTATTGAATCTCGAAATCGAACCCCAAGAGGTTGGTTAACCATTTTTGGAACTCTCCTTTCACATCTCTGTTCCAACAGATATTTTAGACTCCGCTGATCGGTTCGCACGATGAAATGACGTCCCAAAACATAGTGTCGCCACTTTTGGATGGATAAGACGATTGCCATTAACTCCCTTTCGTACGCAGACTTGAGGCGGGTTTTAGATGACAAAACTTGACTGGAGTATGCTATGGGTGGTTGGTTTTGCATTAGGACTGCCCCTATTCCATATCCTGATGCATTCGCCTCAATTACGAAGGGTATTGAAAAATTTGGAAGAGCCAATACGGATACTGTAGTCATAACTTTCTTCAGCTGCTGAAATGCAGCCTCCGCCATCCCCCGTCCACCTAAAAGCATCTTTCTTGAGTTGTTGCGTAAGTGGCCAAGAGATTTCGCCGTACCCAGCCACAATGCGACGGTAGTACCATGTCAGACCTAGAAATTCCCGTAACTCCATGATGTTTCTAGGGGTTGGCCAGCTGGTCATGGCTGTAATTTTTCCCGGATCTGCTGCTATCCCTTCTCTTGAAACCAAATGTCCCAAGTACTCGATTTGGTCTTGGGCAAATTGACACTTTTTTGCATTGGCATGGAGCTGGTGTGATGCTAACACCTCGAACACCATCTCCAAATGTCGGACATGCGTAGCCACATCCTTACTATATACCAGAATATCGTCAAAAAAACCAACACGAACTTTCATAAATACCCTTGAAACACTTGATTCATCAGAGACTGGAAAGTGGTTGGGGCATTGGTTAGCCCAAATGGCATCACCAGGAACTCATAATGTCCTTCGTGTGTTCGAAAGGTTGTCTTCGGTACATCTTCCGGCTTTACTCGAATTTGGTGGTAACTTGATTTCAGATCAAATTTTGAAAATATAGTTGCTCCATGCAACTCATCCAACAATTCGTCAATAACGGGTACATGGAATTTGTCCGAAATGGTCGCCTTATTCAAGGCTCTATAGTCAATACAGAACTTCCGGTTGCCATCTTTCTTTTTCACTAACAAAACAGGACTAGAGTAAAGGCTAGAACTAGCCTGTATTATCCCTGCCTCCAACATGACCAAATGCTTAATTTCATTCTCTTGGATATGGGGATACCGGTATGGCCGCACACTAATCGGATCAATCCCCTCCCTTAGTCGGATGACGTAGTCCACTTCTCTGTTCGGAGGTAGCGTCTTTGGTATGTGAAAGACTTGCGGGTATTTCTGCAGAACTTGCTGCACCTCTACACAGTTGTTCCTCCTTCAGTTCCCTTTCTTCCACCCCTAAACTTCTTAGCTCCACCAAACTCCTTGCCCCTCCTGCTGTAAGGCCTTCCATGGCTTTGAGAGAAACTTCAGTGTGGTTACGCCCTTGATCCCCTTTCAATGTAACTACCTATTCCCCGATCTGAAACCGCATGGTGAGGAGCTTCCAGTTTACTTCCCAACCTTCCTAACCATTGCATTCCCAGAATGACGTCGATGTTCCCCAACTCCAGTGGAAAGAAATTCTCCAGTATCTTCAGTCCTTGCATCTCCACCATCACCCCCTTGCAAATTCCCTTACCTAGTAAAAACACTCATGTTCCCATCACTACCCCATAATTAGTAGTCGCCACCGTCGAAATCTCTAACTGTTTGATCAGTTTTGCTATAATAAAGTTGTGTGTAGCCTCACAGTTGACCAGTACCGTCACTTCCTTCCCCTTTATTACCCCATTAGCTTCATGGTCCCTGGAGTTGATATCCCCACTACAGAGTTGAATGATAACTCTACGGTTTCAATGATCTCCACCGGTTTGTACCCTTCCTGCGGCTTCCTCCCAATCCCCGTCGGGCTCCTCCTCCTATAATAGCATCACCTTCAATTCTCGGTGCTTGCACTGATGCCCTATCGTATATTTTTCGTCACAACGAAAACATAGCCCTTTTCCCCTCTTCGTCTGCCATTCCACGTCGGTCAACCTTCTAATCGGCGCTTCCCTGCGTGGTGCCGGCGTTTTTTCACCCACATTGACCACCCTCGTTGGAAACCCTTCCACGCTTCGTTCATCTCATCTAATTGGGGCTGAAATTGGTTTAAAACTCCTTGAGCCTGGTGGGTTTGTAAGTAACTTCATTATTTGATTCATTTTTTCTACCCTTTGGGCCATCTCCATGATGTTGCCCAACCCACTTAGTTGATGTAACCTGATTTCGGCCCGTATGGTGGGATTGAGCCCATTAACGAAGGTGCTTTCAAGCACTTCTTCAGGGAGGCCCACTAATGGGGCTGCTAAAGCTTTAAACAGCTGTCGGAACTCTTTCACCAAGCCTTCTTGCCGGATGGCCAAGAATTTTTCTCAAAGGCTACCCTCCTGTGTTGGATGGAACCTGTTGAGTTTTTTTATATCACAAGTGTACAATATCGTAACAAGTAATATAGTGGACATTTGAATTCGGATTATCGTTCCCACGAAGACTATACTTTAGGACTTAATCTAACTTTTCTAACTCCTATTTGACAAAAGCAAGTAAATATTTATGATAATTATGATTATTTTTTTCTAAAATGGATAATTGAAAATTCAAATATGTAATGAATATTAGGGAATAACAATTTCATCTTATTGATAACCTTTATTTTTAATTCAAGATTCATAACCTAATGAAGTTTTCTATCGAATTCTTCTATTGTATTCAATTTACCCCTCTCGAGTTCTCATTGAGTCTATTTAACTAATTCAATTTCATCTCTATGTGAATCAATTTTAGTTAAACGAAACACTAGTTCTAAGAATTCATATTATGGCTGCAATAATTAATATATGTATCTCTATATGTTATACTAATTTACTGAATTTTACTATATGGTCTAAATTTCAAACTCACCTCTCGATTCATAAGAGACTCACATAATTATTAAATTATTAATTAGGTAATTTAATGCATTAAACTCATAATAAAACCAACGCATAAATAAATAAATCACAGAAATCTTGAATAGAAAAATAAAGAATCACAAGTAGATTACATTGTTTTCCCTAATATAAAAATTAGTTATTCATATTGTAAAAATAAAAACAAGCAAAAGTAGAAAGATATCACCAAAAATTGACGAAACATGAAAATTTCCGGTGTTTTCAGTTTCCTTTCCTTTCTTTTCTTTTTCTCCTTTTCTTCCTTCTTCTCTACGCCATGTCATTTTTTTTCCTCCTTGGACTTTTCGTCTCTCTTTTCTTTTATTTTATTTTCTTTTTTCTTTCCAGCCCTTCCATGTTTTTTTCCCGTTTTCTTCCTTTTCTATTTTCCTCTCTGCCGCCTGTGTTTCTCTTCTATGTTTATTATGCGTCCTCCCCACTCCGTGTGTATCTATTCATCTATATATATATATATATACAAATGATCTAATGAGCACCGGTGCTCATCTTATCCTAAGCACCGATGAGTTGGCACATTAATTCATTGGTGGATAAAGATTTTGTGAGTTCCAATCCACCAATGAATTAATGTGCCAACTCATTGGTGTTTAGGATAAGATGAGCACCGGTGCTCATTAGATCATTTCTGTATATATATATATATATAGGTTTAATTTGGTCTTCAATTAAAATTTTCAATGCAAATCTATTGAAGTCCATATAACTCAAACTCATTCAATGAAATATTTCTCTTCAAGGTTTCATCTTTTCGCCACTATTGCATTCTTTTTTTCAATTCTTCATTAAATATAAAATTTTATCTACAAAACACAATATAACATAAATTAGGTAGAATTTAATTCAAAAAATAATAAAATATCATGATTTAGGGCTGTAAAAACTACACTTATCAGAACCTCAGTGACAGTTTCTGCCTGAATGATTCCCAGCTTCTAAAAGGCTCCCTCGCGTCAGTCCACTGAAGCCACGAAAGGGCGCTACCGTCAAGACTTACACCTACTGCCGCCAACTTCTCCTTCTCCGACAAGACATTTATCTCAAAATACCTCTCCGCTCGATATACCCATCCATCTGAGTTATCCCCACTGAAAATTGGCATCTCCAGCTTGTGAACTCGTCACCAATCCCCACTTACGATACTCCGGTCAGAAGCCGCCATCACCCCTTCAGTACTCGCCTCGCCCAACCCTTCCGGCCATTTTCCACGGTCTTGTGGTCGTTGATCTATCAAGGGCCCCTGGTTCACATTGATTGGACGTCCTCTGTCTATCGCGCTTCCGGCTCCGTCCCCTTCCAGTACCCATTCCTTTGTCACTTGCGGATGGGTCCAAGTAGCCATGGTTTTCTGCGTTTCCTCTACTGTCCGTAAAATCCTTGCCATGTTTTGAGTGAGATGTTCCACCGACCATTCCAAGCCTGATAAACGCTGCAGCTCTGTTTTCAGTTCTTCCACTTCTCTCTCCATCGCCTCTACCTTGCTTTTTGTTTTCTTTTGTGCCATCAGGACTGAACGTGCTCTGATACCACTTGATAGAACTCTACTGGATGAAAAAGGGAATGTAAATTTATTGAAGAAATTGATAGTATAGCATAAAAAAACGATTACAGTAAATGAACTTGTAAACCTCACTTTCACTCAATAATTGCCTGCCTCTAAATCCCTCTTCTACACTTATTTATAGAGCTAGTCTAACAGAATTCAGTATTTTCCCTTAACTAACCCTAAAAGACCTTCCTAACTGCTGCCAACTTGTCCAGCCCACTTCTTAGCCCTTCTAGAATATGTATATATAACGGGAGGTCTATCAGATTAATAATTACAAACCACATGGAAATGAAATTGCTGCTGCAATAGTTGGGGTTTCTGGTACTAATATTTTTAAGATGACTTGAAGTTTCATATTCACTTAAGATCCTACATTGGAAAAAGTATGTTTGATCCCTAGAGCATAGTGGAATTAACACATTGGCATAGAGCGGTTTTGTTCAATGGACAAATATTGAAGAGTCTTCTATATTACCATAAAAACCTGTAGTCAAAATGCAAGTTGTGCAGATCAAATATTGTTTCAGTTATTCTCTATGATACTGAGTGTTGATCCGCTAAAGAAAAAAATAGTCTAAGGATCAACATAGAAGAAAATGAAGATGTTAAGATGGATGGTGGATGTTTGATCATTCTCAAGTGGATAAATAAGAAATGAGGGTATATGCCAAGTTGCCAACTAGTTTAGGAGGAACTACTTAAGAACTAATTAAGAGAAGAACAATTTAGATTGTCAGGCCATGTATTTGGGCAGATCTAAAGAACTTCTTGTTTACAAGATCATTCCAATCAGTAGATCACTTTAGAATAGGCAGTAATAGGCCAAAATTAAGGACCCAGCATTGTTGCAAAAGTTTCATTTGACCTTTCGATAGATGGATCTGACCCCAAAAATGTTGAGAATTAGGCTTAGATTACTGTTGTTGTTTCATCCTTTAGAGGTTTGTGTATTTGAAGATGGCAAAATTCAGACAGCAGGACCTACTGCTAAATATATTGCACGAGGGATTATTTGTTTCGGAGACACTTTTGAGACCTTGAGCTAAATGTGGAAACATTGAAATGTGAAGCTCAGAGAATGTTTTCAGGAAGCATGCTTTCAATGGAAAGAGCTAGTCCACTCTAAAATTCTATTGAAAGCTGATGTCTTTGGCTTGTAGCAGCCATGGGATTATAGGTGACACTTCTGTAGCATCTACTTGATGTTTTCAAGGCCTAAACCAAATAAATGGACTCATCGAGGACTGATTAACACTTGACTGCTGTAGAAAAAGAATGGATGGAATAATGATTGCAGTTTCTGAACTTTGCGAGAAATCCTTGTTGAAAAATAGTCAAAATTTCATGGTGAAATTTGCCGGTATTTAGGTCATAATGTCAGGGATGATATGTGCAGCTAAAGGCTGTGTTAAGGTTCATAGCTCATTCATTAATAGTTACCACCCACAATATTTCATATTGATGAAATAATTTTTTTCCCTGAAACAGCTGGAATCTTTTCTTTCGTTTGCTGCAAGACTACATAGTTGAAATTCTCCTTCAACTTTGCATTGCTTGTAATTTGTTCATATTACCTGATCATCAAGTATATTTATGTTTGACTGCATGCATCGATATTCCTGATCGCAATGTTATTGTCATTAAAATCTCACCTGAAACGTGGATATTAAATTTTACTACACACATCTATATGGTCAGGCTACGCATCAAATATAATCAAACCTACCTAATTCTCCAATATGTTGATTTTATGAAGCACAGCTCTAACTTATTTTATGTTCTTCTTGGCCTTTGTTTCAGTTAGAGATAATTGAGCTGCTTCTGAAGGCATGTAATTCTGTTGAAGGATATGCTAAAAAGGTAAGAAACTTTTGTGATTGACCTTGGTAAATGCAGTGAATGATCATGAAAGTCCTTCCTTTCGGTTTTCATTTCTATTCGACAAAGCTGTTTGGTGACCTGGGCTGTGTCAGCCCCTAGCTTGGGGGAGATGCAATCAATTCTTTCAGTGTACTTGGCCTGCGTAAAGTATGCCTTCATGGCTTAAAATTGGTCGTAATTTATTATGATGGTTTATATCCAGGTTTTGGTTTAAATTTGGCCATTCATTAATCCCCATATGGATGGCAATTTTATTTATTTAGGCAAATCCTTTTCCACGACAGCAATTTCTTTTGAGAAGGATTGGAAATTCTGACGTTAAAAGTCTCTGAACTGATATCTAAGCCTCTGTTTGGAAAACTGTATAAATCAATTTATAATTGGTCAAACTTCATTTTCAACCACACATACAATGGATCCACTAGTACTATCCACTTTCCACCATTCATTTCTACTTTTTTATAAATTAAACCATTCATAAATTCTTTCCCAGCGGAGACTAAGCTAAGCGATCAGGGGAGGGTATCAATATAATTTTGTATTTATACTAGATCTCTACATTATCCTACATTAGCTACATGATCTTTAGATGGACTGGAAAAGAAAGGGCTGGTTATTCCGACGAATAGCCTTAAAAAAAGGTAGGCCGAATAAAATTGTTTCGAATTATCCAGCCTTTTTACTGTATTACTATTTTAGGGTCCATTTCCGTGGTGAATACTATTTGGAATCTGTTATTTTCTGTAATCCTTTACTAAAAATGATTTACTGCATCTCATCTAATAATCTAAAGGAATGTCTCTACTTTCAACTGATCGTCTAAAGGCGTGTCTCTACTTTAAACTGATCTTCAGATCATAGATAATTTCTTAATTCACATAAAACTGTGAAGAAGGTTTCTGTTGGTCATACAAATATTACCATGACTGTTGTATTATCTCGACAGATTAAAATGTTCTTACTCGTATCTTTGCTGTAGTCCCTTGCTTTTGAAAAGAGTTGCAATGTTCATAGTTCCTGTTACATTCACATGTAACTCATAATTAATCATGTTATTAGAGATAATGTCATGGCAAATGTTCTTCTCATTAATTTGATGTGATCTTTGATTCATTTTGCAGTGTAAGAGATTGGTGTTTGAGTACGGTCCACTAATTCTTGTTAATGCCGAGCAATTCCTGGAAAAGAATGATCTATGCACCGCATTGCATGCTTGTAATTCAACTGCAGTTAGTAAAGAACAAGAAGCATTGCCAAGGACAGAGATATCCATGCATTCTGCATCTTAAGGGTCGTGATCCTGACCAGTTTGGTAAAATTGTCACATTATTACACACTACAATTTTCATATGAAGATTGAATATTGGCTTCGTTGTAAAATATATTTTTACATTTCATGACAGATTGTCTTTGCATCTCAACTCTGTTGTATTTGCCTGAGATAGATGGATAGTGGTTTCTTTCAAACTTAATATTACATGTCCATTGCAAGTTGCATGATCATAAACCCACAAATGCCTGAGTTGAATGGTATTTAGCTATGTAGTTGATCCAATCGATTTGTTTTAACTACCGAATATCTCATCGCTAAATTTGAGGAAGCTTGTAACAACATTAATAATACTTGTGAAATTTCGCGAGGAAGATTAAACTCTACTGGACAAGATTAATGCAAAAAAGAATATGACGGATCTGAAATTTAACAAAATAAATGCACGACTAAAAATCGCTGAAACGTGAAAAGTTACTCTTTTTTTTTTTTTTTTAGGAAAAACGCTCTATTAAGCATTAATAAGGCAAATTTTGGATACAAGGAGGAGTTTCCTCCAACACTATTCTCGTCTCAGAGAATTTAAGTGCTTCCTTTGTTAAGGTATGCGCAACCACATTAACCTTTTTTGGTACATGACAATCGGACCAAGAAAGAAAAGAGACAAGCATACTCTTCGTATCCTGTATCAGTAGGCCGACATAGTTCCAAACCTCTAATTCACCATTGAGTCCTTTTACAACATTCATCGCGTCGCCCTCTAAAATGATCGACCTCAGTTTCAACTGTTTACACAAAGAAACAGCTTCCATTGCTCCAATAGATTCTGCCGGAAAAGCGTCCGGGAAAACTTTCCTTTGGGACATTAGCGATGCTATAACTTTTCCTGTCCAATCTCTCACAGCTAATCCAATACCAACTCGACTATTAGCCTGATCTACCGCCGCATCCCAATTAATTTTGTAATTGTTTCGTGGAGGCACAACCCAAGATTGGGAGTCAAGGTCTCCTCTATTCCGAAGCCTGGCCGGTATGGAATTCACGCTTCTATACTCCAATGCATTTTGTCGAGCCTTGTTTGAGACTATTTCTGGAGTTTCAAATTTATTCTCAAAGACAAGAATTCCTCCTCTTCCAAATCAGGAAGGCGGTAGCTACAAAAATCTCCATTTCTTCCTCAGATAATTTTTTAAACAGATGGCAGACTAGTTCTTTGAAATTCAACGGCTTAAAGGACATCTTCTGTATCTTGCGTGCACTTGAGCCCCATACATCTTGGGCAGAAACACACAACCACAGAGCATGAACTGCAGACTCCTCTTCCTGCATGCAGACTGGACATAAAGGGGACTCCCTTATTTTCCTTCTATTCAAATTCAAGTTTGTGGTAAGGATTCATGGGTCGCTCGCCACAAAAACATTTTTACTAGAAAATCCATCTGTTTCCATTTTATGGTTCGTTCATATTACCAAAGAATTAAAGAAATAGGGTGGAAATTGAAATAGGAAAATTTGACCTAATCCAAATAATTTACTTGTTCCATACTAGAAGAAGGTTTCTTGTTATTGAAGAATACTAATTACGAAAATACGAGCTTTACTGATGTCTAAAATGACAAATAATTTAAAATGTGTTTCTTCCAAGATATATAATACTACAGCAATGTTGTTCTTCGTTTTGTATACTCGTTCCATGCCTTGAAAAATTCTCCTCCACCTTTTCAGTACCAAAAGCGGTAGGGGTTTATTTTCAGTACCAAAAGCGGTACTGGGGGGGTTATTTTCAGTACCAAAAGCGGTATTTTACGTTTGGAATTTACTGTTAAATAATATGCCAACAAATTACAATTTTCATTCATATGGTATTGAATATTGAATATAACGGACCTTTGTCATCATTTATGTCAACTAATAATTAGTTACGTGTAAAACTGGCCATAATTGAACGGAATAATATAGTCGAGCGCAGGCATTCCAAAAGTGTTCCAACTGTAAATTTTTCTTGTATAGAAAAGAAGGAAAGTATAACATATCCAGTTTATTCTCCTCTACATGAGGCCATTTCATTCAAGACCACCCACCTCCGCTATGTCATTCCTCCATTTTTAATTATAAGACCAAAGATGTTGTGCATCTGAGGTGGAGTAAAGGCCACCGATATGGGGCCTCGATGTTGAAGAGTTTCCAGTGCCGTCTCTTGAGCCCTCTCCTGTCCAGTCCTTTCTGCAACCGAGAAATTCAAGAAACTAAGCACATTTACTATTGAAAATAGTAACCAGATGCACAAACAACCAACGGTAAGACTACAATCATAAGAGAATGCAAGACGAAAGAAATCAAAGTTACCAGAGTATTAAATAGGGGCGATACGAAGGATTGGAAATGTAATTACAATATTACCTCTAATTCTTACACAGTAAGACCAAAAACTACTAATTTCTGTGTTTCAAAGTAAACGACATCTTTTCCAGTTTCGGGTATGTTCCAAAAATCAGAAGGAATGACCAACCTCTCAAAATAGCAAAGATTTCCACCTTTTTCTTTCACAGAACACCCAGTGGTACCATACGCTAGAACTTGGTCATACTTCCCTTTTGAAACTATCTATATTATACTCATTTCCCCCCTCTTATCTTTTACTTCCCTTCAGTCACTCCAAGCTTTTCATCTCAGTTGAACACCCATTGGCTTGTTTTGCTATATCTTATGATTATTTATATTTATATTTTAGCCCCTAACTCATGCAGAAAGGCCAAAGTTCTAATAGAAATGTATCATTAACATTATTTTTTCAATTACTTGCCTAGCAGATATATCCAATTATCAGTCAACGAAGTTCGCTAGTAATTTTTGAAATTTCTCCCAAGTATGCTTAACTAAGAGAAAGGTAAACAAAACATAATATAATAAGACAAGAATAAAAATAACTAGAAGCTAAAGCCTAGAAAAATAAACAAAAACACAAGTAAACTATAGACTGGCAACAGATTAATTTGTTCAACAACCCACATGAGCTGTTATAGGTAATAAGCCAAATTCCAAGACTGCACATACAGAAAGAAAGAGAGTAGCACAAGAGCCTAAGCTCTAAAATGGCATTTGTCAACAAGGTCAGAGCAAATGAGGACGAATGTGAGAAGATGAGGTTGGCCGAACTTCTACATCTTTTTCACAAGGTAGCTGTCATCTATTCTTAATAACACGCTACATAAGAAAAACTTCCACACTTCCTAAATACCAAATAGCCCAATGAAGAAGAATAAGGGAGATATGGAAATGGGAAAATTTCGGTGACCTACGGTATTCATGTAGGCTATTCCATAGATTTAGGAAAGGCAAAACAGCATTTGATGCTCAGCTATTCTGCAAAAGATGCTTGTCAAACGCTTGCAAGAATGGCATTGAGATGTTAAAAATTGTGTCAATTCGAAGAAAATAAAATCACAGTTATTATGACAAATTGAGAGTCCTGAGGATAATCATCCTGGCAATTCCGTATTTCTTGGAATACTAAATGCCATTTGATGCCCAGCTATCATGTGAATGATGATTGTCAAACACTTGCAAGAATGGCAGAGACTTGTCTTGTGGTGTCTCAAAATTGAGAAAAATAGAAGCTCAACTCATAATGGTAGAAAAAACCCCATGACAGAACAAGCCGTTCACTTTATCCTTGTTTCTCTTCCAGGTTGCAAAGAACATGTGATCAATTTTGGTGGATAAAATGCAGTTAAGAAGAGAAAGAAGAAAAATAAATAATCACTCCATCTCCTATTGGCTATTCCTGTCCATATGTCCTCATACAGTAAGGTTTACTTTAACCAGATATAAATTCTTTTTCTTCAGATAAGGTAATATTCATATTTGTGCAGGTCAGTCGTCATTTATTTTACATACAATGACCTAAGAGGTGGGGGTTTAGATGGACCCCTACTTATTAATTAAAAGAAACAGGACACAGAGGATTAAGGTTATGTATGCAATTTTGTTCTATTAGTAGTAAAAGGAGCTAAAGTAGAACTTCACAAAACATGGATACGATAAAAGTTAGCCTTATGCAACCTCTTAAGGGAAAATAATAAATTACAACTTAAATGTTTGCATAGACATGCTTTTAAGCACGCTATCAGATATCTAAACCAACAAGAAACAGGCAATGAGGCAATTATTACACCACAAATCAAAAAAATGTACAAGAAAAAACAACAGAATATGTGACTTTCAATGTGAATGTTTTGAAAAAAACTATGCATAGGTAAAGGCATACTGCTTTGCCCAACAACAAAAGTAAAGAAACAGAAGTTCTAAATAAAAGAGATTTTAAGGGTTAAAGAGCTTACTTGGCCCAAGAATTAGCTGCAGACAAGTCAAATTGAAGTTGAGCAGCATCACTGGAACTCCCATAAATTATACCATTACGATCAGATGTCTCCCTAGGATTCAACAAAATTTGGTTCTCACCAGCTGAAGTTGGGCCGTACAAAGTTTCTGGCAACCATGGACCATCAACAATGCTAGGCACAGAACTATCAAATGTCCCAGCATTCTGAAAATTGCCAAGAAAAATATTTTGAGAAGAATGAGTGCCAGCATTGACATGCTCATCATTCTTAAACAGTGAAGCCATTGTTTTCTGAGGTACCGGATGCATAATATCTTCCTTTGGTCTGCTCAGTTCTGGAGGCAAAAGCCAGCTGATGGATTCACCTACCAAACCTAGACCAGCCTGACCTAGAGGCAAACTATTCCACATCTGCCATGTTCCACTGTCATTTGCGTCGTTGGAATTATCCTGAGCTTTAGGAGTACTAGGGGGAAAAACAGAACTACCCTGCCTTTCCTCTGAAACTCGTGATCGGGACAATGGGGACTGAATTGGTGATGGCTTGGTGACTTCAGATGGTGCAGGTGTAGTCTTCACAGCACACGATGCTTTCAATACTGTATCTGTAACAAAGCCGAGGTCCAAATCAAAGTTATAGAGTGATTCAGAAACTGGCCCAAGCAAGGATACAGGGTCTGGAACATAACAAGGGTCTTCAAAAATCTCTGACTCTGGTAAAAGTTGATCTGGCGCTTCTCCAATCCTAGGTAATATAGCTTCAGACGACAGTGGATGACATCGACTGCTGCTTGTTAATCTAAAAGGAAGAGAGGGTAAAGTAGATGGTGGCAGCTGTCCAAAGTTAATAGGTCCATCAAATAGTTGTAGTGGGCTCTGAACTTCTGTTTGGGACTTCACGTTTGGCCCACCAATGACATTCGGAATAGAGGGTGCAGAAACAGAAGATGAACGAGTGAATAATTGTTGCCATGATTTTTTGGGGGCTGGACATAGTTGAGGTTCAGTGAACACCTGCAGAAAAAACAACAGCATAAATATGTGTCCTAAATACAAAGAAACCACGACGAAGGCCGTGTGACTAGAGACTACAATACAATAACCCGTTTACAGTTCTAAGAGATGAACTCAGGGTTGACTCATTCAAAATTTACTGTGGACAAAATAAGATTGAAACACATGCCAAGTTATCAATCACCTGAAAGGACATCTCATTGGCCACCAGTAGAAAAAGTAACATTACGTGCATTACCAACATCAGGTCACACTATCTATATTGGCCAAATACAGAAAATTGGCTTCCTTACTGCTTCAGTTAACTAATAAACCAATTAACAGCCAACCCAATCCACAGTGAAGATAGTCAAACTAAGGTCAAATAAAAACCAGAGATAACTTACAGGACGATAGACATTCTTATCATCTCCATTTACATTTGATCTCCCAGATACCCATTCCGGTTGCAATACATCTTTCCTATATGCAGAACCTTGAACATGATCTACAGATGCATTAAGTCTGTGCTCGCTTGAAACAGTAGAAATATTATCACTTCTTCCCAAAAAACCACCTCCGGTAAATGCTCTAGAAGAAGATATAAAGGTGCCCTTCATACGATCCAGGTATCTTGTTCCAGCAGTTCCTCGGTTATGACTGTTCATAGTAGCACCCTTAAATCCATGACCCACTTCTGCACTATGAGATTTCACATTTTCAGATACATTGCTGTATTGTTCGCATTTGTCACCATCTATGTTTTTGTTTCGTGTGCTCTCCTTGCCAAATCTCGTTTCTGATTCCTCTGCATCAGAATTGCTTTTGCTTGATCCCCTATCTCTTTCTTTCTTTCTATCCTGATGTTTCTTTTCAGTTTCTTTTTTCCTATTTCTATCCTTCTCAGGAGGGAACTCTTTTCCACATTTTTTTCTGTCTTCCGTCTTCTCATCCCGCAATCTCCTACGTTCTTCAACCAACCTCGCAACTTCTTCTCTCTGCTTTCTTTCCTCCTCCTCGAGTAGCTCCTTCTCTAATCTAGCCTGCCTCTTCTCCTCAGCTTTTCTGCGAGCTTTCTCTCCTCTACTCTCATGAAAATTCCCTCCACTCTCACCTCGCTTATCCAATAGCTGTATGAGCTCTGCATCAGTTGAAGTATTATCACTGGATGAACTAACCCTAAAAATCTTCCTCCAAAACCACACTATAGTCAAAAAGAAAGTCGTAGATACCTTGCAAGTAAAAATAAAAATGTGGGAATAAGACTTCTCTGCCGAAAAATGATTTTCCTCACCAACACACCCACCACCATTCTTCTTCCAATAACTTGACTTCTCATCATAAGGTCTCCCAACCCAATTCCCATTCTCCGACCAAACCGTTCTGTTGAACATTGTCCCACTTTTCCCCACTAAATACTTAAAAATCCCTGAACTCCCCAAATCCAGAGAGGCGGGCAAGTCAAGAACGGGCCTCTTTGAAATATGCCCGCAATATGAGCACGTAAACTTGCCCCCACCAGGACTCTGATCCCGATATGGAGTCAAACAATTCCTACACCTCCGTGTAGCAGTCTTCCTCAACTTTTGAATTTCAATTGCCTCAATCCTCTTCCTCTCCCTAAGCCAAGCATTCCTCCGGACCTGCCAGGCGGACAACTTAGGCATCAAAACCTCATACCAAAAAAGGGTTACTAACAGCACGAACACGCATGCCAGCCTTGGCGATGTGATTTCAAAACGGAAAGCAGGGGGCAATAGCTGCGATAGAGCCCAAAGCCCAATCAGTGGAATCACTAACCATGGCAACATGGTAGCAACCCTCCTTGACCACTTCTGAATCACACACAGTATACACATTATCCTCCTTATGGCGCACCTCTCTCACCCAATCTTAAATGGGATAAATACTTTATCAATTAAACCCCCAGGTAAAATAATAGAACGTATGTATAATTGCTCCTAAAAGGAGAAGATTTCAAAAAATCATATGCTCCAATATGTCCCTTTTCTCGATTCTTCCAATGCAATACCAATTCTCGCGTTTCCTCCAAACCCTAGAGGAGCAATTCGTGAAAAATCACCAATTTAAAAAAAATGATTAAATCGACAAATCATTTTCACATGCCAAACATATCCGAACAGTGCTGTTTAGAAGCGCCAAAACCTAAAGAATACCAAAGGAATCGTATCAATCAAAGAAAACTAAAAACGTTATATGAAAACATATATTGAGCTAAGTACGAATATTCCGGCCATCTAAAAATCATCGGCCATATCGGCGGCGTGTTAACTTTACCGGAGTTGATTGTATTGTTTTGATTAGAAAGAAAATAATCAGAAAGGAACGAACAAATAGACAGTCAAAGTTCGCTTATAGAGTTCCATATATATAATTGGGTCAGACCGGACGGGATCGGACCGGAGAGATGATATTGGACTGGTTGTTAGGGGGGGAAGATTGTGTGCGAGCGGGTATTTATCAATATTTAGTTCTGGCGCAAAATGTTGTTATCATTTGTTTATTTTATGCAAATCTTTTCCATCATTTTAAGTTTGATACTTCGACCGTCAGTTCGATCAAATCTTGTGTAATTCACCTCGTATCGTCCAATTCCCCCAATTTTCCCCACCAGTCAACAATGGCATGCAATCAACTAAAATGTCCAAGGACATTTGGCCAGAACACTAAATTATGGTCTTTCAAGACAAATCTATTAATCGTAAAATAATAATTTTATGTGTAGATATTAAATAGTATACAAAGTTTTCACATCTGAAATTACGCAGATGGATCATTGTGCATTATGATTTGTTCTTCCTTTTATCAAGCAAAATGGAAGTTGTAGATTCTTCTTTTGGTGCAATGCGCCTATGTGTCTCAGATTTGTGAAGATTATTGTGTTAGATCCACAAATGCATATGTACAAGTCTTGGAATTGAGATGACTTGATATGCTAGAACGTGGGGGTTTTTTGTTTCGTTTGTGATTTTTTTTGTAATGAGGGTTATGAATGGTAGAACTTGAACTTTTAAGATTGTGTTTTGGTAGGTAAATGTAAGTTATCGGTATCGTTTGTTGTAATATGATAAGTTTATTTTGTACACTAATATGGACCATTAAAATGAAATTAATTATTGTGGATTTGGAAGAATTGTGGTTTAATTATGTGTATATTTTGCTTGTTATGTAAAATTTGATGCAAATCGATGAAATTGGAAGAATGGAGCGAAAAAAGGAAGAAATTCAAAGTTCAAAAATCAAAGTAAAAATATTCATTTGTTGATCCGAACCGCAAACCAACAGTTGAGAAATTTAAAGAGTCAATTAGATGCAAATGGAAGTTGAATGACCAAAATAATATCAAGAAAGGACTCAAGAAGACCATTAGAGAAAAAGCGGTGACCAAAATGTCAGTTTTGGAAGAATGAAAGTGGCGCGCACGCACCGCCCGTGACGGCGTGTACACGCCGGCCACCTTTTGAAATCTCAAGAGCGGATGAATGCCATGACGCACTTGCGTGGTTGTTTCACGTCAGATGAATGAACAATTTTCTTTTACAAATTAAACTCTTTTCGAACATAATTTGGACACGGTTTTGACCTAGTTTTCGACCCTGTAAATATAGAACTTCAACAAAAAATTGAAGATCCCTCTCTACCGAATTAGAATTTTGCTTTGATTAGGATTCATTTCGACTATTTAAATTAGTATATGTTAAGGGGTTGAAAATCCTATAGCCATTTTTGATTAATTAACAATCAGTTTTTCAGTCACCTGGTGGATTTCAATATTTTTCACGTTTATTCGAGCGAAAGTCGAGCAACACCCATTCACGTGTTAACAACAAGATTCTTTTTATTATTATTCACATTTTTGTCATGTGTCAACTTCCTTATCTAAAGAAGATTAATGGTCCAATCTTATAAGATTATTTTAGATCACATCTACGATGACAAAATACTTTGCATGTGCTCCAAATGTCTTGAATTTGCCCAAATTTTTTTATTAAATACAAATCTTCTAAACTTGGACAAAGTTCATCTAAGCTAAAGCGGAAGATATGCTCTTCGACATTTCAAAACCGTTCAACAAATAATTAAACCAACGGTAATTATGGATATATTAATACCGCCCCCATATCTTTCCGGCTCCCAAAAATCCTTGACAAGGTTGCGACGGGAGGGTTGCCACTCCTTTCGGCAATTCTTAATTGTAGCGTGTTTCTATCTAATCAATACTAAATATTTGAATGAAAAAATCTATCACTAAATTTAATGGTCCAGTTTCACACGTGTGCGATTAACTCGTCATTATTAGGTAACCAAGATTATTTTGGTACTTTAACATGAGATTTGATAAAGAAATATGTAAATCAATATATTGTAAGGTAACACGTGTCGTTTCATGTAATAATATTCGGAATAAATTTATACGTAATCGGAAGTTTTGGATCTTGAATTAATGAGTCGGTCAGTAGAGACCAATTACTATTCTTTAATTCTAGAGTTCTCTATCTGATAATTGATTATTAATATGATTAGGTTGTCCAATAATTTAATAAGTGCAAATTTATTATATTGTGACTCGAGATTAAAATTAAACCCATACAAAAGGTGCATCCAAATTTCATTAAGTCCAACTATTATGTTCATTAAATCCACCTTTGATCTTCAATCATGATAAAAAGGGTTGCTAAATTAATCTGGATGACCCTAAATCAAGACCTAGTGTCAAGGATGTAACTTTATTTAAGCCCGTTGACTCAATCGCAGCCGCAGTTTGCCCAACTTCTACCGTACATTGTAAATTTTAGTTCAAGTTTGAGTTGTAATTTCTTTTACATTCTAATAATTTATTTCAATTGTAAAATAGCTATGATATTTGTAGACATTTAGTATGATTCCTCGTCATTTAAACGTTTACTCATATCACTTAGATTTTTATTCCGCAAGCTATTATAGGGGGTATTAGTCTTTCAAAAATCTTTCAAGTTTTCTGGTGTTCGTCCTCTGCACCAGCCATTATAATTTCCTACTTTCATCAATTGTAATTTTTAACTTTCAAACAATCAATGATCAATCTACTTTCAATACATCTTAATTTTATGTTGCAAGTTTTCTACAAATTGTAATCAAATTTTTCTTTCGTCTCGAAATAACCGAGAGAAGGCAGAATATAATCTAGCGGAGCAGACTACCGCTGCACGGTATCCCTTTCTGTGCTAAGAAGAAAGGCACCTCGTGAAAGTTGGTATCAAAGCTGCGGCTTACGACCCTCGATAAGAAAGCTATGGATCCAATTATATCGAGTATCATAAAGGTCGTAGATCCACAAAAGAGGAATATGAAACAGCGCGTGGATATGCTTGAGGTAACAGCTACTAGGTTGTGTTATGCCATGGAGGGCATTGAGGAAAAATTCGAGGTGGCAAAGACGGAAATTCATGAATTACATATCCAATTAGATGAAAGCCGAATGGCTTGCACACCAATAACTGAAACTGTTGCAATCATATCTGATCTACATGATGAAATGGAAGCGTTGAGAGCTCAATTACTAGTACTTCAACGTGCGGTTGGCAATGGGCAAACCCCTGCACGGGAGTATGTTCCCATTCTCAGAATTTCGGAACCGTGTACCTATGAAGGGGCACGCGATGCAAAAGAAGTCGAGAACTTCTTGTTTGATATGAAACAATACTTTCTTGAGGCTTCGATCGAAGACGAAATAAGAAAGGTTACAACAGCTACCATGTATCTTGGTGGCGGACAAAGTATGCTGATATTCAGGCCAACAGGGTCCAAATAGATTTTTGGGATCTCCTCAAAGAAGCGATCAGATCGTAGTTTTTCTCATAAAATGTGGAATATCAGGCACGACATGCACTACGAAAATTGAAACGTACAAACTCCATCAAAGAGTATGTGAAAGTCTTTTCAGGGCATATGCTGAATATTCGAGATATGTCGGAATATGCGAGATATTCACCTTCATGGAAGGGTTGAAACTGTGGACACATACGAAACTTCAGAGACAGAAGATTACTGATTTGAGCGTGGACATGGGAGCCGCCGAATGCTTAAATGACTATTAACCGAAATAGAGAAAAGATCGACCTTCAGGGCATAGTCAAGCTATTGAAGGTGGGAACAGACCTTACAGGCCCAGCTCGAACTCAAATGGGGGGAGAGCGTTACTCTCATAATAAAGGAGGAGCCCATCAAGGCACCCGACAGAGTAACTTGCAGGGAAACTATCAAAATAGCCGTCAAGGAAACTATAACGGCAGTAGTAAAAACAACTTGAATAAAGGAAAAGCAACTGAGGGCAGAATTGATGCCTCTTAAATTGATGTGCTTTTTATGTGAAGGAACTCATCAGGTGACTGAGTGTCCTCAGAAACGGATGGTGAATGCATATTGTCAACTAGCAAGTACTAGAATGAGTTCTAAGCAAGATGTCCCACAAGCTAGCTGGCATAGCGAGACCGGCTCGGAAGAGGGTGAGGATGTAGTTGGCACATTCTCACATTGGTGCAATACACTATCGCACCGAACTTCTAGAAATGGTGATGTTCCCTCGAAAGAGGTAAATATGGAAAAATCAAAGGCTCGCATTTGTAGGGCTAAAGGCCTATTGTACATTGATGTGAAGATCAATGGAAAGTCAATCAGGGCTATGGTAGATACTTGTGCTACCCATAACTACCTCGCAAGAACCGAAGTGGGGAGACTCGGACTTGTTCTAGAGAAAGGTAGTGGAAAAATCAAAGCAATCAACTCCGCTTCTCAACCAATAGCTGGAGTAGCGAAATATGTGTTGCTGAAAGCGGGTCCTTTCGAGGGAAGGACAAAT